TGAAGAGGGGGAGCATGCAGCAGGGGAGGCCTAGAGGCTGCTTGACTGCTTTCATGCCTAACACCACACATCTTCCTTCCTGCTTCTGCTTGCCCTGTTGCAGCAATGGTGAGGGATGAATTTAAGACAACCCTCCAGTAATTAGAGTCTATACATGGCAAATTATAACAAGTGTATACATTTTCCTTGTGCAGAATCTAATTATTGGGGAGCGGTCTTAAATTTGGAGTTGTCTTGGATTTGGATAAATATGGTATGCAAATTAGAATCTCTGAAAATAAAACGTAGTAATTTGACAAAAGATGCTGTGTACAGCATTTTATTTTATAACATAGACAGGTCAGATATATCTATAAAAACGTGGAGAAACACTAACTTCTGGATCTACAAGGATACCAAATTAGTTAGTATGAACAGGATATGATATTTGAGATCATTATTACATTTTAGATACAATAATCTTTTCTGAATTTTATTTCTTATTTTTTGACTGGCCTATGACAATCTGAGACACGATGACATTCACCAGCAGGCTGCTATCTCCAGAGAAATTCTAAAATGATACACCCTAAATACACCAGCTGCCCATAGTGAATCACAAATATTTTCTTTTATATATGACCAAAGCAGTTAAAACAGACAAAGGAGAAGACAAAATGTGAAAGAAAATAATCCAGAAAAGACAAGCTAATCTAGAGGTCACTATGGAAATATCTGCTAACAGAAATTCCACACTGTTACATGTTATTCTCAGCAAAATGAAAAATTTTGGAATCTCAGAAATGAATGTAACAACTGTTGACAAATAGTGATTTTTATTACCGATCCAGTGAAAGAAGAGTGTGTGAATGTGTGCAAGCATGTTTTTTTAAAGAGGAACTGATCTGAACAGGGAATCCTAAAGACTCCACTGACATTTGAACCAAAAAGGACCTGTCTGCTCAACCCCAGATTGAAATTCAGGTTAGAAAATGAGGACATTTCTGCCCATGCAGCCTCAGCAATATTGTCCTGCTCATATGTACCAAGTGTAGATTAAGGCCCCAGAGGCACATTTTTATAGTGCTACAATGATTGTAGCATTACAAAAAACTGATAAATGGAAGTGCAATACTCCAGAATTCTTGGTTCAGAGATTATGCTTTTTATTACACCAACTAAGAAAATACAAAAAAAAATATATCTTTCTTTGCAAGGGAAGTGCACACATGCACAACTCACTGACCAGAGTGCAACAGAGTCACCACAAAGGTACGGTCTCCATTCAGTGGGTTAGAGAGCTGTTCTTTACCCCCCCACCCCACTCCAGGGAAGCCCGTCAGTCAATGGACAAGCTCAATGGTGGATTTGCCCAATCAGCTGTTGCTGCTGTAACAACTGATGTGGCTGCCTACAAGCCACTCATACGGGAAACAGCTGATTGGTCAGCAGACACTACCCTATGAGCCCTTGTCACCACTGTAGCCAGTTCACCCTAGCTGCCAGCAGCAACAGTGATGGTCTCTGTCATCCAATTAAACCTTACTGTTTACCACTGCTACCAAAGCACCACTGTGCTCTAGCAACAACTGGAACTTTTACTGCTCTTTGAAGCACCAGGAATTTTAAACTGTTTTAGTCCCAGTACTGTAATTGTACTCCCGCTACCCTCACTGCCACTACAGTACTGACAACTGCTGGTGCTCTAGGGCAGAAATGTTCCTACCTCTGCTAGAGCATCAGCTGGCAAGGGCTGATTGATCAGCCTCTGCTGTCACTGCAGGCCCAGCAGCAATGGCTGATAGAACTACCAACAGGGCTCCCTACCAGCTCACCAGCTGGGCATGCTATCAGGGTGACAGCCATCCTCCTTCTGTCTCTCACCCTTGGAAGGAGGAAGGGAGAGTGGAGCATTGTTGGATACTGAGAGTTGGAGAGACCAGTATACACATTAAATTTATGGTGGAAAAGCTTCCTGCAACAAAAGTTTATTGTTGTTTCTTGTAGCAGATCCACCATTTTTGTCATCAGCCACTTTTTTAGCATGACACACAGGATGAACATGTGGATGATTACTGTTTGTCATGCTAAAACAGCCTGTATGTTTCGTTGTTTGTATATTAAGGGCCTAAGACACTTGATATGTATAACAAGTGTATACAATGTAACGTCTATCAAGGGCCTAAGACACTTAGTTGAACTTGTCTTACCAGCAGCCAAGGCTGGTTGCAAAAGAGTTGGCTATGAAGAGTTGCTCACCCTTATATCAAGAAAATTCCATTCTGCGATTATTGTAGCTTCCAAACAGACTCTGTGAAATCACTTGAAACAGATTACAACAATCTATTTGGAGGTGGTTGCAATGGGGAAAGCTTTTCAGGAAAATGAAGGTGATTAAGGTTTGAAATGCTGCCACAATTCCTGCCATGGACTCTACGTATCTTGAAACTGCCCATAACCATTGTGGAAAGCGAACGTAACTAGATTCTTATGCAAACTGTAACTCCATTATGATTCCTCAATTGCGTAACTGCCCTATGTCACCTACTGAAAATATGCCATATGTCACTTCCTACCTCCTTCTATTAACATCATTTTAGTCTTATATGGACTGAATTGAATTGGTTGTCCTTCATCTAAATCAAAACTCACACCATTCAGAGACAGTTACAGGTAAGTACGTGAAAGAACAACACACACAAAAAGGCAGCCTATATAAAAGATGTTTGAACTGCACGGAGGCACTCATCACTGCATTTCACAAATATTTTTTTCCAAGAACAAGCCTCACAAATCAACAAGAAAGTCTATCCTATCCTCCTATCAGACTGTCATCTAGAAATAAAAAAGAAAATCTAAGATTTATTGATTTATTGTCACCATAAGATCCAACGTAAAATAACTGACAACTGTGTTAACCAGAGCAGAATTCAGATGATCAGGAAATCTGAACATAGACAAAAATTGCAAAAAGATTGGATTTGGATACTACCAGAGAAACCCAGCCAACAATGAATCACTAATGGTGATTCAAGATAAATATTCTGGAGCAAATTATTTTACGAACCTACTCCATACATCTAAGTGCAGGTATAAAAGCAGTGGCATTTGATAAATATTAACCTCCACCCTCATCAACAGGGTAAGCATCTGCACTGTGGCATTAACAAGTCTGAAAGGACCAATATTCATGCATACTTTTAGCCTGTTAAGTTCCATCTGAACTTCAGAAACTTTCATTTTGAACTCTGCCAGGACAGACTTTCAGCCCTATTAATCAAACAAAAGGAGGATGTATCACAGGTCACAGATGCACTGGATACATTTACTTGTCAAACCTAAATAGTTCCACTAGGTGGATGCTAGCCTTCAGAGGTGTACCAGCCTCTTCCCTAACATTAACTCCTCTAGCCCATTAGGCAGAAATGAAGCATAAAAGTACTAGGGGGGGAGGGGGGAGTTTAATCATTGGTCAAATTTTAGTTGTAAAGAGTGATGCAAATACAAAAGCAGTTTGCCCATGAACAAATACCTGTGGTTACATTGTGATGGCCAGAACCAAAGAAATTAATAAGCAATATATATGTGCTTCCTGGAGGCATTTGGAACTTTTGTCTAATA